AGGGAGGCGGTTGGAGAGGTAGGGAGGTGGTTGGAGAGGAAGGGAGGTGGTTGGAGAGGTAGGGAGGTGGTTGGAGAGGAAGGGTGGCGGTTGGAGAGGTAGGGAGGTGGTTGGAGAGGAAGGGAGGTGGTTGGAGAGGAAGGGTGGGGTTTGGAGAGGTAGGGAGGTGGTTGGAGAGGTAGGGAGGTGGTTGGAGAGGTAGGGAGGTGGTTGGAGAGGTAGGGAGGTGGTTGGAGAGGTAGGGAGGTGGTTGGAGAGGTAGGGAGGCGGTTGGAGAGGTAGGGAGGTGGTTGGAGAGGTAGGGAGGCGGTTGGAGAGGTAGGGAGGCGGTTGGAGAGGTTAACCAATTAACTAACAAACACATTCTTTACAACTTCCGAAGGGAAGAGATGGCTGCCCACATGTGGCTGCTGTGCGTAACAAATTGGAAAGACACTTTAATGATTCTGGTAAAATTGCTGGCTTCAGTTCAGATTCCTCATTGGAAATCACTGAGTCTTTTTCTCATGATCAGGGAATGCTGCGCTCAGCCAGTGCGGTTTCCCAGTGTGAACCAGCACAGAGTGTGCTCGGAAAACGAGACAGTTTCCAAACCACTAATATCCCTCCGGGAATCGTAAAAGCAGACATTGTGTAAAACAACCAGAAGTATTTGAAAATTACCTGAGCGACTTGCTCATTTCCCACCACCCCGCTCGCTCCTTTTCATTGCTCTACTGTGACAATGCATCGGAAGCATGGAATGAAATTTACTTTGGGTTTTGCTACCGTCTCGGAAATGAAAGCAGGAGGTTTGGGGCGGCAGGTCACCAGGGCAAATCTTGTGCCACTGCACTGCAACAAACACCGAGCGGAGACACCGAAAGTCTCATTTTGTCTTCAAAAAATTGTGGAAAATTCTTCAATTCAGCCTTAACCCCACTTCCCCCCTGCCCTCCACCCCTCTTGCTCCCAATCCCCAGCTAGGGTGCAAATCCGTAACTGTCCAGTGCCTTGGGACTTCCTTCTGTCATGAAAGGCGATATATAAATATAATTTGTGGTTTGCATTTGTTGTTGTTAAGTGAAATTTAGTTGGACATTAAAGAGCCCGTGGTGCTGTTCGGAAAGAGAAAGGAGTTTCCCTCTCCCAAGGTCTTGGCCAACAATCCCCACAGAAAAACATTCACTTTTATGGTTGGTTTCGAGGCATTGCTGTGTGCATACTGGCTGCCATGTTCACCATCAAAATACACACAGTCTGCTTTTTACTCTATATCTGGTGTTATGTGGCTTTGAGACATTCTCTCAATGTGAAAGGTGTTATAACAAACAGAACCATGGAATCTTACAGCACAGAAGGAGGCATTCGGCCCATCGTGCCTGTGTTGGCCCTTTGAAAGAGCTACCAACTATTCCCACTCCCCCTGCATATTTTGAACTGTATATATTGCTACTACTATTATAATTATTAATAACTCGGACCAGTCCAGCTTCCGAATTAAGAGTTGCACAAAATGCTTGAGCGTCCTGGGATGCTTGAGGGCAGAACCAAGACAAATGGAGCGAAAAACACCTCTAGAGACAATTGGCAAGAAATCTTTGGGTTGTACAGTAATCATTTAATGCCTGTTGATACTCAGGAGACACCACCCGCTGTTAAGCTGCTGTCTCGAACCTCGCCCAGTCGGCTCAGTAATTGTTGTTTTGAGAAAAAAATGCTAGAAATGTTCTCAAGGAATTCAATAAAATATCACCCCCCCAAACACACACACACACCTCTCCTCACAGACAGACAGCAGCTTCAGACCACCTCACTGCAGGCGAGCTCACAAAAAAATCCCTTCAAAAAAAATAATAATTTGGTCGCTCAATCCACAACTGCTTGAGACACTGCTGTGCGTGTTTCACCAGCCAATTCACTTTAAAGTATGTTTTGTAAAGCGTTTTGAGCCATCTCGAAGACGTGATAAGGTGCTATATCAATTGCAAGGATTATTATTGTTATATCTTCATGTGCTGCATGTGTTACCAAGTGAGTGCCGTAGCAGAGCCTTAGAACAAGGATGGGTTACGTAACAGAGAGTAGGAGTCAGTCTGGGCTCAATCAGAAGCACTCTTGCCTCAGGGTCAGAAACTTGCGAAATGAAGCACACGATTGGGACTTGAGCTCATAGTCTAGGCTGGGAGAGTGAGCATTGCAGGGAAACAATCTTTTGGACAAGAAGTTCAACCAAGTTCCTGTCTGCCTGCTTAGGACGTAAAATCCTTTGACACTTCTTGAAAAGAAAAGGCAGGTTCATCCAATGTCCTGGCCAAAGCTCCTCGACGTTAATTGGTGGTTAACCTCATGGCTGTTTAGCAGGAGCTTGACGGTGCCACTGCAGAAACACACTTGACAGGAAATTAATTGTGAAGCCTTTGCGATCGGGCGATGTGAAAAGAGTCCATACAAGAATGCCTGTTGTACTCTTTGTTTTATTTTATTTTGTTTACTTGCATTTGATATAGCGCCTTATCACGGCGTTGAAACGTCTCAAAGCGCTTCGCCGGATATACCGTAAAGTGGAGTGACTTTGTATTTTGTGGGTAAAACGCAACAGCCAGTGAGAGGCACATAGTGAGCAGGGGATGCAATGGAGAGCCTTTCTAACCCTCTCTGACTGTAATCTGAGACAGAAAGTAGACACAAGACAGAACAGAGGTAACCTGAACTGCCCAATAGGTCTTTAATTCTGTTTTGGTGAAAGACTGGCTTAATGACAAGATACACACACAAACCCGAAGGAACGCAGAAATGAAACAAAAGCAATATTTAAGCAGTGCCGGCTGAGGTGACATTAAAACAGCAAGTCAGAGCAGCTTCAGGCGTAAGAACTTGCACTCGACGTCTCAAAGCGCTTCACGGAATGTACTGTAAAGTGGTCCTGACGGTGTATTTTGTGGGCCAAACACGGCAGCCAATTGCACACCGCAATATAATTTATGGGACGCCTTGCCTCACACGCCAGCTTGTGAGGGGAAGAATGTCAGGCTTGTCCTCGGACCTGACTGCTCGCTGAGGCAGGCAGGCAGGCAGGTTGCTGAATGGAATGGAAATCCCACATGGCATTGGCAATGGGAGGCGGTCGGAGCGAGTGGCAGACATTTCCCCCCCGACAAGAATTCTTGGATCATCTGGAAAACTCATTATAAGTGAATGAGGCACGAAAAATAGCAGGACTCGGGTCGTCCAGACCAGAGCAGCCAAACATTCAGCAAAACACAGACTCGGGACTAGAGCCAGGAAAGCTCAGCTCAGCCGCTCACTCAGGGCTGCAGGGGAAACGCGGACTTGGCTGAAGGTGTTCAGTGCTGGAGCTCTCAATATTGGTTGTGAAGCTCTTTAGGGAAGAGTATGAGCATTTTGCGGGGTCTTTATTGCGTACGTTGTCGTTCTGCACTGAGTTGGCCCATCTCAAAATGCTTCACAGGTAATTGCTGGCAAGTGTGGTGACTGTGTGTTTGACCACAATCACAGCACCACCGACAACAACTGACATTTATACATTGTCGGGAGGAAGTCCCAAGGGGTTGGATGGTCAAAGGTTTGCATCTGGTCTGGGGGTTGGAATCAAGAGGGGGGGGTGGGGGGAGGGGGAAGTGATGGGAAGACTTATTGCATTAATTGCCGTCCAGTATATCCCTCCCTCTCCCACCCCCCCCCCCCCACACACACATTAGAAACACTCAGCCAGAGGTCCATCAGCCCACCTACACATGGAAATCCCAGAGATCGATTATTAGAATGGAATGCGCTCCCTCTCTGTCTCCCTAATTCTGGAATGTATTAGGCGCAGATTGGCGAGAGCCAAGGCTTGGGAGTGGGGAGTCCAGAGTGTGGATGGGCTAATTCCTTTGGAACAACCTTACATTGTGGGTCTCAGACATTCTGGGGTCTGTCACACTGATGTACTGCACTGATGGATGGATCGAAACAAGTAACGGGAAGCTTATTGAGATTAAACCGGCTTTGGTCTCGTGCTCTGGGCTCATGTTCTGTTTATCCTATCCGAGCTCACGGGACGTGCTCTGCCTGTTATATGATTTACCCTGCAATCAATCACACCGGTTGTTCTTCCACCTTTTTTTGCTTCCTTTCCCAGATGTTCCTGCAGCTGGGAGCTGTGTAAAAGCCACCGATGCCCTTCAGTAAAACAAGGAATTCATCTGTCTCAGTGTGCGCTTCTCTCAGATCATAGGAACCTGAATAATATAATAATAATCATAGTATTTGATATATCGCCTTATCAAGTCTTCAAGACGCCTCAAAGCGCTTCAGGGATATACTGTAAAGTGAATTGACACTATTTTGCAGGCAATAAATAAAAAATACATCAAGGGCCTCATCTCTCCCAACTAAGCCAAGACCCCGACATTCCAGGCTGTGAGACAAGCTGCTCTTAAAACTTAATATCGCGTGGAATTGTGGAAAGCTCTTAAATTCAGTTGTTAATTTGGAAACCATTTTATTTCCCCTCCGCCCGCAATTCCCTTATAAAAAGAAACCGTTTTTTTCCAAACTCAGGATTGGATTGAAGAATTTTCCACACTTCTGCATCATCTTTAAAGGTCGAGACAAAAATGATCTCACACAAGATGAATACTGGCGGAATTTCAGGCCTCGGCCAATCTACTGCAGTTTGTCCTCATCCTTTCGTCTCCTGATCCCCTTTCCCAACAGGTTTTGATTCAAGTTTCCATCGAAGGTTACCTGTTCAGGTGGATGTTAAAAATTCTGCGTCGCTATTCGAAAAGAGAAGGGAGTTTTTCTCTCTCCCGGTGTCCTGGCCGACAATTCACCAAATAACAAAGACGGCAGCCAATTATGCACAGCAATGTCCCACAAACTGTCGTGGATTGATTGACCACATTTTTTTCCTGGAGGGATTATTACCCCTGGAGGGATAGAAGGAGGAGAAGGGAGCCTTGGAATGAAACTGGCTCAGAGATACAGGCAGGAAATGAAATGAAATTAGATTGAAATGCCTGCCGCTGCTTTCATGCTGGTCCAAGGGGCGATTTCAAACCTATTTTGTTTTTGTTTTGGAAAAAAAAAAGGTTGCGTGCCGCAATTTAATGCCAGTAAATGATGTCACTCCGACAGAAATCGGAGCAAATAAAAAGTGGGCAGATTGGAAAAGCAGCAAACATTCGTAGACAGAGAGAGAGAGAGAGAGTGAGTGAGTGAGAGACAGAGACAGAGAATGCTGAACACTGGTTAACTTCGCAAACGTACACACATGAAAGTTCACAGAATTACAATCAACTTCGAAACAGTCGCCACAAAACCACAGCAGAAAAACAACTGGAAACATGAAGCAGAAATTCTTCATATTGATTTCCGCTTTGCTGTACCATTTCAGCTCCTGTCAGTTCCAGAACTCCCCAGGTAAGGTGAACATAGTGAATCCTTCTTGTGCTCTGGAACCCTACCCTGCAATGAGGGGCACCATATAACAACCTGTTGTCGTAGTTGTTGATTGGGCAATAATCCGAATTTTATCATTTAGCGAATTGTGAATTCGTTCCACTTTTAGTTTGGGATTGAGGCATTGAGCCGGGTCCATTTTTTGTTTGGGTGTGGGGTGGAGGGGGGGGAATTTTCTTGATTTTCCAATGGGAATGAAGGAAAAGTAAATCAATTTGAAGTGTAAAACGATGGGAAGAGTGGGGGATAATTATGTGCTCAAAACCTGATTGATCTCCAGTGAAACACTGTCCAGAATCGCCATAGGCAGAAGATTTGTTAATCTCTTCCCTGAAATGTATTGTCACAACAGGATTTTCTGTTTAATAATAATGATGATAATAATAATCATTGCATTTGATACAGCGCCTTATCATGTCTTCAAGGAGTCTCAGAGCGCTTCACAGGATATACTGTGAAGTGAATTGACTGTATATTTGAAATGAAATCGAACCAAATCCCACCTCTGGCTGTGTGTTTCTAATGTGTGTGTGGGTGGGGGGGGGGATATACTGTGAAGTGAATTGACTAATTCAGAACGGTTGAGATGTAATTTCTCAGCAAATTGGCTGCTGTGTTTCACTCACAAAATACACAGTCAATCCACTTCACAGTATATCCTGTTGAGATGTCTCTCAAGGAACTATATCAATTGCAAGGATTATTATTGTGCTATTGCTAACCAGGGCACATCTCTTTGCCAACAGTGACACGGGACAGATATTTAACCCTATTCACGGTTCCTCAACTCTCACCTCTCCTCCGTCTTCTTCATTTCTTTTCTTCACATTCTTCCATCCTTTCCGCTCTCCTCTCTCCGCCCCAGCAGCCCCTTTTCTCAGCTGTGGGGTGCGTTGGGAAAGTGAGACGCGGGTTCCCGACACTGCACAGTAAACAGAAGCAATGTGAAGTTGTCTTGAGTTCCCTCACCAGCGTCTGAAAGTTGGAAGCGTTCCTGTTTGTAGTTCCATGCGTGAGGTCATGTTAAAAACATTGCAAAAACATGGAACAGGAAACGGCCAGCCAGCTCCAAGTGTCCCAGCCAAGTGTCCCAAGCCAACAAATCCCCCCAAAATAAAAAGGTTACTCGCTCCATGGCTGTTTGTGGGATGCTGCTGTGCGCAAACTATCTGCCGCGTTTCGCCCACAAAATACACACTCACTGCACGTGACAGTATATCCTGCGAAGCCCTTCGAGGCGTCTTGATGATGTGATAAGCTGCTATAATAATAATCATCCTGGCTCTTGAGTTCCCTTATCACGTCTCAAAGCGCTTCACAGAATATGTTGTAAAGTGGATTGATTGCGTACTTTGTAGGCGAAACCCGGCAACCAATTGCGCACAAGCAGTCGTGGATTGAGTGACAAAATTATACATGAGTGCGAGGGAGCAAGAGGAAAATCAGCAGAGATACAGTCAGTAACACAGGACACAGGTTGTGAGGAGTGACTGAGCCCGACACGGAGCTGCAGTAACTCAGGAGGGAAGGGAGGGCGTGTGACCTGTGGGAGGAGATGGTTTGGGGAGCCCTTTGGTGTGTGTGCGTGGCTCTGGCTGTTTGCACTCTCTCTCTCTATCTCTCTCTGTAGGAGACGCGATTGCCCGTCAGATGCTCTCCCAGATGCTGCAGACAAACCAGGAGCTGGCGGAGATCAAGGAGCTGCTGAAGTCACAGGTAATGTTTCCCTGACAGCTGTCAATCCCACCTGTGTCTCCATCTTTCCAAAGCCTCTCCTGTTGCGAATTGAGCAACAACAACCACGATTTGCATTCGCGTCGGGGAGGACGTCCTAAGGCGCTGAGCAAACAAACACACACGTAGAATCAGGCAGTGGTTTGTCCTGTGTTGTGTACGTTGCTTAGTTCTGCGACCTCCACCCCCCCCCCAATATATGGTCACTCAATCCACGACTGTTTGTTAGATGCTGCTGTGCACAATTAGCTGCCGGTTTCACCCACAAAGCACACAATTCACTTTCCGGTGTATCCTGTGAAGCGCTTTGAGACGTCTCACCGAAGTGATAAGGCGCTGTATCAAATCCAAGGATTATTATTATTATTTTTGTTGTGTTTTGTAGGTGAAGGAGATCGTCTTCCTGAAGAACACGGTGGCCGAGTGCGATGCCTGTGGTGAGTGTGTTCTTCGATGAGGTCCAGGAGATTGGTTCAGTGATGTCCTCTGTGTGGGTGGCGGTGGGGTGGTGGTGGTGGGGGGGTGGGGAGGCAGGTCAGACCATCAGTGTCTTGCTTCTGGGGTCTACCTTAAGCTCAGCCCCAATCCGACTCATTGCAGCAGGACGAGCGGTGGGGTGGGCTGGGGTGGGTGGGGGAGAGGAGGGGGTGTCGGTCTCAATGTCCTCACCCCAAGGCTCAACACTCCCCCAGTGACCTCATGAGAGCATAAGAATTTGCTGGCGAAAAAAGATCAAGTTCACCTTCCACCATCCTGGCTTTCACACGTCCATCTCCCAAACTATACATTGGATTGTATCCCGAGATATTATTTTCTAACCAAAACCTTATCTATACCTGTCTCAGAGACAAGGAGAAATGTTTTTTTTTTACCCAGAGAGTTGTTACAGTCTCTAATGCGCTGCCTGGAAGCGGATTCGACAATACTGTAAGTTTCAAAAGGGAATTGGAAAGGTACTTAAAAAGGAAGTATGTGAAGGGCTATGGGGTGAACGGGACGAGTTGGCAGCTCTTTCAAAGAGCTGGCACAGGTAAAATAGCCGAGTGGCCTCCTTCTCTGTTGTAATATTCTATGATTCCATGGGTTAAACCCCTTGTGTATCTCCTGACCTCGCTGTAGGGCAGGGATGATTGGAAGCTAGGGATGTGACCATCTATGGTTCTCTCCCATCTCCAGGGCTTAACAAAGAGGGGAAGCATCCCCCGATCACCCAGTATCCCTACGGAGGCTGTGGCTCCAGCCCCTGCTTCCCTGGGGTCCTGTGCACCAATTCAGTCGACGGATTCAAGTGCGGAGCTTGTCCGGAGGGTTTTACGGGGAATGGGACGCACTGCACTGATGTGGATGAGGTGGGAATACAGCACGTTACATTCCAGCACAGCACAACAACAACGACGACCGCCACCACTTATATAGGTCCCCCCACTCAGGGTAGCGTCTCAGAGCGCTTAAGACAGCAAAATACAGCCTAGCGTACACATAACCCAACAACATCTACAACAGCTTGCATTTATATAGCTCCCCACGCGCAGGTTAGAGTCCCCGAGCGCTGGTAACTCAGCTCAATCCAGCAAAACACAGCACAATTAAGAGTGAGTGTGACCTGCGTCTCTCTCTCTCAGTGCCGGATGAAACCCTGCTTCAGACGGGTTCGATGTATAAACACGTCCCCGGGTTTCCGGTGTGAGGCGTGTCCCAGTGGCTTCACCGGCTCCAGGTTTGGGGGAGAGGGAGAGACCTTCGCCCAGATGAACAAACAGGTGAGGAGCCAATGGTCACGGGCGATAAAACAGATCCCGTCAGCTCGGTGACACCGTGTGTCACTCACAACAATAATAATTATAATAATCCTTGCATTTGATACGGCGCCTGATCACGTCATCGAGACATCTCAAAGCGCTTCACGAGATACACTGTAAAGTGGAGTGACTGTGTATTTTGTGGGTGAAACGTGGCAGCCAATTGAAACTTGCCCGGCTTTTTGCCCTGCCTGGGAATCAAACCCAGGGTCCTCTCGCTTGTGAGGCGAGCGCTCTAACCACTACAGGACATTTGATACAGGGTCTTATCACGTCGATGAGATGTCTCGAATCGCTTCACGGGATACGGAATTGGGGAACGGATGTGGAATTTTGTAGTGGTGGGGGAGAGGGAAGGAGGCAGTGGGTCACTCGTGGGCTGTGGAGTAATCGATGGGCTCAATGTTACTGCTTTTGTTCTCTTCTCTCCCCGTTCCCTCACTCAGGTTTGTAACGATATTGATGAGTGCGAGGACGGGCACAACGGGGGCTGTGACCCCAACTCCATCTGCACCAACGTACAGGTAAGTGATAGACTCCGATCGATTGATTGATCAATCACTTGCATGCTTCAGTGTAGCTGGGTAACACTGCTCCCCACCCCCCCCACCCCCAGGCCTTTGACAGCGTCCCCCCACACAGGTGTCTCACTACATTACAGAGCAGAGTTTGTCCACAAGGTTGAGTTTGTGGATCTCAGGGGTGGGGTAATTCACCTGTGTGCGTGTGGGTAAGGAAACTTGTCCAACATTTTGCCCTGACCCGGGAGTCGAACCCGGGTCCTCTCGCTCGCGAGGCGAGTGCTCTGACCACTACGCTACGGGGATCCCATTCAACAATCCTGCCGTGTCCTACACCCCTTGAACGGAAGGTTAACTGAACGAGGTTGACGTGTTCCCGTTCAAGGATAAGCCCGGTTAACCTGGTGCCCGGCTGCTGACTCCTGTGTTTCTCTCCTTCTCTCTCCCTATAGGGATCATTCCGTTGTGGAGCGTGTAAATCGGGATACCTGGGAGACCAGACCCAGGGTTGCCGTCTCAAGAGGAGCTGTGCCAACGGAGCCCCCAACCCCTGCCATATAAACGGCGAGTGCAGCATCGGGCGTGACCGAAGCATCATCTGCAACGTGAGCACCCGAGGGGGCGGCGGTGGTGGGCGGCGGAGTGGTGGAGGGGAGGGGGCCAGGGTCTGGGGGGAGGTGTCTGGGGTCTGAGGGTGGGTTTCGAGATACAAGTGAGAGTCCGCGCTTACATAAACTGTCCGCAAGTTCAACAGACGTAATAAGGAAATAATAATGATGATAATAATAAAGATGATAATAATCCCTGCGTTTGCCACAGCTCCTCACAGGCCTCTTCAATACATAACAATCCTTGGATTTGATATCGCGCCTCGTCACGTCGCTTCACAGAACATATTGTAAAAGTGGAGCGACGGCGAGTTTCGTGGGCGAAACGCGGCAGCCGATTGCGCACGGCGACGTCCCACTAACTCTGGCTCTCGTTCGCTCCCAGTGTGCGATCGGCTGGGCCGGGAACGGCTACGTGTGCGGGAAAGATACTGACATCGACGGGTTTCCTGACGAGTCGCAGGCTTGCTCGGAGCGGAACTGTCAAAAGGTAGGAGGACGCCCCNGAGGGGCGCGGTGTGGGGGCAATGGGAGGGTGGGTGGTGGGGGGCAGAGTGAAAAAACTATGTGTGATCTCTGATCTTGTTTTCCTGGTGTATTTTGCAAAAAGTTCTCTCTTTTCTCTCGTTGCTGACCGACGCATTCCGTGTTTCAGGATAACTGTGTGATGGTCCCGAACTCCGGCCAGGAGGACGCTGACGGGGATGGGTACGGAAACGCATGCGACGAGGACGCTGATGGCGACGGAATCCCAAACGTCGAGGTGGGTGTGTGGTCGTCGAGAGGAAATCCAGCCTCGGACGGGCGGGAAGAGGGTCGGGGGGTGGGGGGGGGGGAGAGAATCACTGGGAGAATTGCGCGCAGCAGTGGATTGAGTGACCAAACCGAAGACAGAGAGTGAGTGCAACTTGTCCAGTGTTGCCTTGGGGGGAGATTGAGCCCTGAGGCTTGTGAGTCCAGTTAGAAACAGGCAAACTCACTCCGGATTTTGAGGCTGACCGGGGACAGAGAGGGATATCGCTGGTGTTAAGCACTGATGAGAGTAACACGATCCGGTCTCTCTCTCTCTCTCTCTGGCAGGATAACTGTGTGCTGGTGCCCAATGTCGGACAGCGGAACGTGGATCAGGACAATTTCGGGGACGCCTGCGACAACTGCCGGCTGACCATCAACAACAATCAGAAGGACATCGACAACGACGGCAAAGGCGACGCTTGTGACAGTGACATGGACGGAGACGGTGAGAGAAACCACGACGCAGGGAAACCCGGCAGCTCGAGGGGCGAACAACGACGACAACATCAACTTGTGTTTACACAGCTTCCCAGAACCCTCGACAGAACACACATCACAGTAGTAGCAATGGCAATAATAATCTTTGCATTTGATATAGCGCCTTATCAAGTCGTTGAGACGTCTCAAAGTGCGTCACAGGGTTATACTGCAAATTTAATTCACCGTGTATGTTGTGGGCAAAACACGACAGTCAATTGCGCACAGCAGCGTCCCACAAACAGTTGGGGATTGAGTGACCCAAGTTTTTATTTTATTTTGGAGGAATTATTACCCCCCGAAGGTGATCTGCCAATTGGTTAACAACAGGGTTCCTACTTTCTGCTGGTAAACAGGAAACTTGCCTAAGGTTTCGCCCTGCCCGGGAATCAGACCTGGCTTGCCGGCGAACGCTCTAACCACAACAGTACGGGACTCCATTGTATTGAAGCTGTTATTCCCACCCCCCTCATGCCTTCTCCTCTTCCCTGACCACAGGAGTGACGAAGCTTTTCCTCTGTCTGTAGGGATCACTAACATTCTGGACAACTGCGAGAGCGTTCCGAACCGAGCGCAAGTTGATCGGGATAATGATGGAGTGGGAGACGCATGTGACAGCTGCCCTAACATCAGGAACCCTGACCAGGTAATCCCCCCATAGCCCCCCCCACCCACCCCCACATTGTCCTGCCAGCAACGAGGAGCATTAAGACCAGGTGTGAGCGGAGAGAGATTTCAGCAAATCTGGGAACTGTTCCCACTGGAATCAATCTCCGTGGATTTCCCAGGAGCCGGTCAGGAATCCGCTGATTTGACATTTGTGTGTTTTTTTCTCCAGTTGGATGTTGATGATGATCTCGTTGGGGATTCCTGTGACACCAACACTGACAGGTAGGGGAACCGGAGCAAGGGGGGGGGGGGGGGGTGAGGGGTGTGTTGTTGTTGAGTGTGAGTTGTGTGTATATGTGTGTGTGTGAGCGTGTATGTGAGTATTTGGGTCAGTGTAAGTGTGTACAGGTGTGAGCGCAGGTGGGGTTGAGAGGATGTTGGTGAAGCTGTAATGTGTCTTGTCTGTGTGTCTCGGGGGCAGTGATGGGGACGGACATCAGGACACACGGGATAACTGCCCGACGGTGATTAACAGCAGCCAACTGGACACCGACTCCGACGGGCTGGGGGACGAGTGCGACGATGATGACGACGACGATGGAATCCCTGACAACAAACCCCCCGGTCCCGACAACTGCCGTCTTGTCGCCAACCCCGGCCAGGAGGACCAAGACAGTGAGACCCCGGGGTGGGGGTTGGGGGTTGGACAAGGGGGAGTGGGGGTGAAGGGGTGGGTGGTTGGGGAGATAGAAGAGGGAGCGAGAGGAATGTCGTTGGGAGGGGAAGGATAGAGACAGAGAGAGTGACGGAGCGGGAGAGTGCGTGTCTGGCTATCAGAGACAAGGACAGCCTTTGCAGAGAAAGCAGAGAAATACAGGGAAAGAAAGAGAGAGAGGAAGGAAGGAAAGCGCAAGTCACTAAAGGCTCTACTTTACAGCGTAACCTGTGAAGCGCTTTGAGACGCCTCTAAGACCTGATAAGGCGCTGCAGGGGTTCTTAGTGGTGGTAACAGCGCCCTCCTCTGGCCGCAGATGACGGGACGGGCGACGCGTGCCAAGGCGACTTTGACGACGACAAGGTGATCGACGTGATTGACATGTGCCCCGAGAACGCCCAGATCACACTGACCGACTTCAGGGTCTATCAGACGGTGGTCCTGGACCCCGAGGGCGAGGCTCAGATCGACCCCAACTGGGTGGTCCTCAACCAGGTGGGTTTGGCCCCCAATCCGCTCAGCCGGCTCCAACCGACACGATTTCTGAGCCCTCACAAAGTGGTCGGTCCTCTTAGCACTTTAAAAACCCGGCGATCGCTTATTTCTTGTTAAGAAATGGAAATAGTGCAAATTAGGTCCGCGGAAACCCTTAATACTTGTGGCAGGAGCTGAGCTTGTTGTTTCTCTCCGCGCTCCTCTCACTACGAACGCCGGACGGTGATTTCCTGACAGGTGCTTTGATGGCACACAAGATACACAGTCACTCCACTTTACAGTATACCCTGTGAAGCGCTTTGAGACGTCGCGATGACGCGATAAGGCGGGTGTGTCAAACGCAAGTATTATTATTATTTATCTATTCCTGGGACTCGGCCACAGCCCAAGGAAACAGGAATGCATAGGGAATCTTTCCGTGTGACTGATCCTCGACGTTTATTGTTGCAGGGGATGGAGATTGTTCAGACAATGAACAGTGACCCGGGGCTCGCTGTAGGTAAGAACCAATCTCTCTCTCTTTCTCTATATATATATCTCCCTCTCCCACCTGCCCCCCCCACCCCACCACCACCCACCCCCTTCCCCGCATCTCACCAAACTCTTTACAATATATCCTGTGAAGCGCTCTGGGACATTACCCTGTGCGAAGGGCGCTATATAAATATCACAAGTTGTTGTCTCAAATGACATGATAAGGCACTATATCAAATGCAAGGATTTTTATTATTATAACTCCTCACAGTCTAGGCTAACGCTCCAGTAAAGTGTTGGTGGGGGGGGGGGGGGGAGTGGGGGAAACAGAATGCTGAAGGTTAACCGTGCGCCTCTCTCTCTCCCCGGCAGGCTACACCGCCTTTAACGGGGTGGATTTTGAGGGGACGTTTCATGTGAACACGGCTACGGATGATGACTACGCGGGGTTTATATTCGGCTACCAGGACAGCGCCAGCTTCTACGTGGTGATGTGGAAACAGACGGAGCAGACCTACTGGCAGGCCAACCCCTTCCGGGCGGTGGCGGAGCCGGGCATTCAGCTCAAGGTGAGGGCAGCCAAGGGCCCGATGTGGGACCCTCCTCACCACCGAGTTTCTGTGCTATGTCTCTATAACAAGGTGGTCACAAACTCCTGTTGACCCCCTCCCATAGTGTTTTTGCTCACTCCAGTGATTCCCCCTCTCTACAGTGCACTGACCAACAACTGTTACATGTGGAAGAATGATGCTAATTGTATTGAGAAATACTTGACTGTATTCAGTACTGGTGTTTAACTGTTGCTTCACATGTCGTGACCCAAACTATCTACATATCTCTAAATATTATTCTGCAACAGAAATCTATCGACACTTTCCACTTCCACCGTCTCCCTAGGGAGTCTGTTCCACATCCCTGATCTTTCTCCCTCACTCTCTCAGGCGGTGAAATCTAAGTCGGGGCCGGGGGAGCAGCTGAGGAACTCGCTGTGGCACACGGGAGACACCAGCGACCAGGTCCGGCTCCTGTGGAAAGATCCCAGGAACGTGGGCTGGAAAGACAAGACTTCCTACCGCTGGTTCCTACAGCACCGGCCGCAGGTCGGCTACATCAGGTACACAGCGGCCGTTAGATAAGAATACTTGCCTTGCTTTTAAAGACCCCCCTCGGCTGTAAACGGGAAAGAGAAGGGGAAGTTTCTCCTGAAGTCCTGACCGCCAATCCTCCACCTGATCTGATCTCTTTGTCGTGTTATCACTGACACCCGCTCCCCTCCAATACCTCCCCTCCGGTGGCGTCCTGTATCTCAGCGGTTAGAGCACTCGCCTTGCAAGCGAGAGAGCTGGGTTCAATTCCAGGCGAGTTTCCTTACTCCACACACCCAATAATAATCCCTCAAAAATAATAATTAATTGGTTATTTTCAATCCACGACTGTTTGTGGGACACTCATTGCTGTGCGCTATTGGCTGCCGCGTTCCCCCACAAATATACAGTCAATTCACTTTACAGTCTATTCTGTGAAGCGCTTTGGGACGTCGAGAAGACGTGAAAAGCACTATATCATAAGCAAGGATTATTATTATTATTATACCATATATCCTCGCCCCAGGGTTCGATTTTACGAGGGCCCCGGCATCGTGGCTGATTCCGGCATCATCATAGACACCACGATGCGCGGGGGGCGATTGGGGGTCTTCTGCTTTTCGCAAGAAAACATCATCTGGGCCAATCTGCGATATCGTTGCAACGGTGAGTAACGGGGGCTGCTTCATGGGAGGGGGTCAGTCAGGCCTGGCTTTTCCCACAGACAACAACAACAGATTGCATTTACACAGTGCCTTTCAGGATGGGAGGACGTTTGGGGTGCAAATCCTCGATTGGCACTGGACAATCCAGGATTTGCACCCAATCTGGGGGCTGGGATCAGGAGAGGTGGAGGGGCAAGGGAGTGGGGGGGGAAGGTAAGGGAGTGTAGGGGGAGGTAAGGAAGTGGCGGGGGGGTTACGGGAATGTGGGGGTGGTTAAGGGAATGTGAGGGGTAGGAGGTGACCAAAGGCACGGTCTGCGCTCTCAAGTCACCGCCCTTCAGCTAATCGCACTCGCCTTTTTCCTGCTTTTTTTTGAAAAAAAATCTAGACACAATCCCAGAAGATTTCCAAGCAACACAACTTCAGTACCAGCTGTGAGGAGAGGCAGTGGAGATGGCGGCCAAACAACAGACCGTGTGAAATCCTCGGCCCCTTTCCTGGCGCGGAATATGAACCTCTCACACCCACAAGCTTTGGAATTCCCTTAATAAATAAAAGTTAAAACGATTTTCTGGAAAAACTGAGGTTAAGCTGCTCCCTGTCCGGCCCGGTTAACTGATATAAATCAGGACAATTCGACTCGATTTGTTGGCGAAACGATTTGAGGTGCAGGATTTCGGGAACGCCAAGCGGCCCCCCTTTAACTGGGGAAATGGTTTATATCAGAGATTATTTGCAGAGTGAAACCTGACACAAGCTCTTCTCACCCCCGCTCTATCCCGGGTGGAGTTCCTGCCTGGGGACCATACCTGGGTAACCCTCTGTTTTCCTAGCAGTAAGTTGGAACCCGGTTGTCAGTCAATTGACGGATTGCTTTCCAGGGGGTAATAATCCCTCTTTTTAAAAAAAAATTGATCACTCAATCCACGACTGTTTGTGGGGACGCTGCTGCGCGCAAATGGCTGCCGTGTTTTATCCACAAAATATACAGTCGATCCACTTTACGGTATATTCTGTGAAGCGCTTTGAGACGTCTCGAAAACTTGATAAGGCGCTGTATCAAATGCAAGGATTATTATGATGATGATGATAACCTGGAAGCTCCACCACACAAAGAATGATCCGAATTCACCGCCAATCTCAGAGTGTAACTAACGTGCCAATCATGTCATTTATTGCTCACATCATGTCACACGCGGATGTAGCCCCAGGTTGTTAAAATGACCCATAAACAAGTCAATCGGTCCCTGATGTATGGGGAGGGGGGAGAGAAAGAAGATCCATGAATGTGGGGGGGGGTCCCCGCAAAGGAAAACGGCCTCCGCTCTTGCAACGGGAAGAAAACACTTGGCATATTTCTAAGTGCTCAGACACATCAAAGCTCCCTTTACACTATCCATCTCCATCCACACTCCCAGGTCAGGCTTAAGGACACAGTAAAGCTCCGTACACTGTCTGTCCACACTCCCAGGACGGGGTTAGACATTATCTCATTATCCGCCCCCACGTCCCCCAGCCTGTCACTCATCAGCTTCTCGTAACCTCGAGGACATAACCCGAACCGTTCGAATGAGACTCATCCTCGTAACCACAGCTCGTGTCTTCACGGCGAGCGGGTGGGGAGGCAGTGGAGGGAGAAGCCAGCCTAGAATTCTTCAGTCTTAGAGATACTATCATCCAATACCTTTCTTGGTGAAAGACGTCGAGCGGTGTAGTTGGAAATCGATAGGTCGATCGCTTATCTTCACTCAAAAAGGTCCAGTGCTCCCGGGAAACCTTTCAAAGCACTCAGAGCCTCCACATTTTACTGCTGAATTCCCACTGCTCTCCTGACCATGTGTCTCACTTGAGCACCTCACAGCACAACTGTGGCTCATTACATCGTCCAGTACAGCAGTTGCTGTGGGAACAAGAGCCTGAGACTAACGAGGAAAGGCTGAAATCACCCCCATTGATTTCACCTCAACACCGAACCACGTCTTGCATGTCCTCTAACCCCACCTACCCCTTGCCTAAGGTTTCGCTCTGCCTGGGAATCGAACCCAGGTCCTCCCGCTTGCGAGGAGAGGGTGCTAACCACTACGCTACAGGTTTTTCCTTTTTAGTTTCGCGCAGACGTCAGTCAGGCCAAGGCAGACACATCCAACATCCAAACAAAGTTTATTTACAATTTGCACAGAGTTATCACCGGATCCCAACCTTCACGTGGCTGCTCTTGCCCGCACGGACCTGCGAGATAGCGCATCGCGCAATGGAATATCCACACAAACATGGCATCCGAAAACATCCCACAACAACAAAAGAAAGAAAAGTAAACTGTGGTGCTGTTGCCAGGTTAAAGGTAAACCGTTATTTTTTTTAATATAAAAAAAGTTATTATTTGGTTGAATGGATTATATTCTCAGCGAAACACAGACATGAGCAATGACGGGGGTGGGGGGGGACGGGGTGGGGGGGGGTGGGGGGGGGGATTAAACACCTGCATTTGCTTCACTTGGACTGTAGAGGGTGACAGAACACCACTTTACTACAACGGGGCAGAGCAAGAAGTAAGTTGGACGGACCTGAACCTTGATCTCGTTGACCGGAGTGGTGTACCCGATCTGCTTGTATTAACGCTGCTGTGATTGTTAGTGTTATTTTAAGAGGATTGCATCGGGGTGAGATAGGGCGGGGTTGAAACCCTTTGCTACTTTTTTTTTNGCTCCTGTACCTCCGCATAAGCCACCAGAAGGCAGACAGCGGCCACACTCCCTTAGTGTTCTGATCTAAATCATTTGTGATCGAGTTGTGTGGGTCTGCGAGGGAGGGCGGCGGGTGAGAGAGCTGCTGGTGTGGATCAGTAAGAAACTTAAAAAGACAATTTACTGGCAACGAACAAATCAAGAAGACCCTTTGGCCCATTTGATCTCATCCCTCCAGAACACCCACCTTGCCATCTCCCCATTACAGGATCAAGCCGTTTCTTAAATGAGTCCAATGTCCTGGCCTGAACCACCCATCGTGATAAATATATATAGAACAGGAGTAGCCCAATCAGCCCTCAAGCCTTTTCAGTCATTTTATAAGACCACGGCAGATCTGTACCTTAACTCCCATTTCCCACCCCATGCCCCCGATTCCCTTGATATCCTGAACTAACAAAAATCTATCTACCTGAGTCTTCAAAATTTGAATGGATCCAGCCATAATGGGCAGCCTTTGTGGTAAACCGGTTCCAGCTGCTGATTACCCTGTGTGTAAAGAAATACTTCCTGGAGGTGATGCTAAGATTGCTTGAATGCCGAGCGACCTTAAAATGTCAGTGCAACTGGTCAGTGACAGACAGCAAGCAAGCTTACACCAGGCTCATCTCAGGGACACTGTCAGGAGGGGGTCAGTGGGTGTGGACCGGGGGCTTCACACCAATTAGAAAGTGGGCAGAAAGTCTTCTAATGCTGAATTGCGAGACCAGTGGTACAGATGAACACAGCAGTTCCTCCCCCTCCGCCCCACCCACACTCAACATCCCTTTCGAAGGCGATGGCAGTCAAAGTGTTTCAGGTAGTTAAGCTGAGCGCAGGTCTCCCTCCACGTGTGTCACTCTATCATCTTACAGCGAGGTATCAACATGCAAAGTCAAACAGGGTTGGGGTGGGGTTTAGTGTTAGGAACTGTGGAGGCTAGGATCGGGTGGGTGCAGGGGGATTAGCTCCCACCTTCTCTCTCACCCATCCTGGCTAATGAATAAAAAGCTTTGATCGATCACAATGAAATGCTATCCTGCCCTGTAGCTGAGACGGCTCGAGTGACGAGTGTGGGAGCTCAAAATGAAGGGGCCACCTTTAAACCTTCATCATCTCAACCCCAACACTCGGGGCTTGGGAACCAATGGTTTCGCTTCTGTGTGTTTGTTTTTGCTGCTGTTTTCTTCACCAAATAGCTTTATGGTCGCTCTCTGTGAAGCTAAGGAGTGGGACTGGCAGTTGCTGCTGTCGTGGGCAGCGGGAAGAGGGTCTTCTGGGGGTCCGGTGCTAAAATGGGGGGTGGGTGAAGACACGTCACCGGGGTGTGGGAGTGGGGGGGAAGCTACGTGTCCCGAGTTACAAGCGGGGAACGGTTGGGGGAAACATTCACTGAACAATTATCCACTTAAAAAACACAAGTGCAGTAGTTTTTGGGGAGGCGGGGGAAGATAGGGGAAGCGGGTGGGGGGGGGGGGGGGGGAGAGGGGAAAGAAAGAGACGGAGTAAACGCTGGTATCGCCCACCCACCCCCCCCTCCCCCCAAATCCAAAATAAAATCCGTATAGAAAAATAAAATAAAATAAATACACAAAGAAAGGGTGCAGGAGATGTCTCTTACAGGCATCGGCTGCAATATAATCACTGTTGTCCATGCAGTTAGCATTTCGTAGGTCAGTGCATTCTCATGCGCACACACGACACTCTCTCTGTCTCTCTCTCGGCGTGACGCAACAAGGCAATGGCTTTGGCTGGACACAACAAGAGCAATGAAGGAAATTAAACAGGTGGGTTCTGAGGAGTGGGATGGGGAGAGGAGGGCAGGGGGCTGGCGGCTAGACAGAGGAGAACGGGCGAGAAAAAACACTGACAAGTATAAAAATAAATATCAAGCAGCACGAGAAATACGTTGGCAACGGCTCGGAAACGACCGTCATCTCCGGAAACGATGGGGAAAGACACTCAAACAATACCACCCTGTGACCGGTGGTGGTGGTGGGAGGAGGGGTTGGGGGGAGGGGGGGGAGGAGGGATTGGGGGGAGGGGGTGGGAGGGGGGGGGGGAGGAGGGGTTCGGGGGGGGGGTCTGCTATCGAGCTAGCACCCGCTCCCCCCTCACCACCCCCACCTTCTGCTCTGTCTGTCATTACTTCACCTGGAAGTGATGACAAGACACACGCACACGTACTCCCACGCAGGCGCGCACGCTCGCACACCACACACATAAAACACGTATGTTTCGGATTCCGCTCCGTGACATGACACGCCAACAGCCCCCCGACATGTCTTTTGGAGCTGGAACGATGCAAAAAGAGGGAAGGGAATCGGTGGACGAGAAAGGAAACCAGAGGCTCGCTGATGTGGTGGGAGTGGTGGGGGAGAAGGGAAGGGTGGGGGAGTGAATGGGTGGGGAGGGGGACAGACCCACGATGGGAGTCAATAGAACGGTGACAATGGACACACGGCATCACGCGACTGCAAGCGTTATAATTGGTTCATTCATGTTTGCGGCATTGCAAGCTCGGAACGACAAGCTGAACTCATTGCACATTACGATCTCACGCTAACTTCGTTCTGTCGACGGGAATCGATCACTCAACTTCCGCTCTGTCGCGGCTGGGTTGTCGTCGTTTTTTTTTTTTTTCTTTTTTGCCTTTTGCCCTTTTGTTTGTCCCGGGTTGTGTGTGTGTGTGTGTGTGTGCGTGTGCGTGTGGGTGCGTGTGTGAGCAAACGTGCTCCTCCCCTACAGGCGATCCATGCGGAAAGTGTCTTCTGTCGCGGGGTCCGTCAGAGCCATGTCGGGGTCGTTCAGCATGTGCAGCCCGTCCAGGGTCAGGGGATCGATCTTCAGCTCCTCCAGGGGGAACTGAGAATCCGTGTCGAAGCTGACGTCTCCCACACCAGCGAACGTGTTGCTCAGGTCCTTCGACAGGCCTGGGGGTGACTCGCCTGTCACTGGATGGAGAAAGAAGGGAGGGGGGGAGAGTTACTATGGCCAATAAACGCCCACAAATATACAGTCACTTTACAATATTTCCTGTGAAGGACTTTGAGTTGTCTTGACGATGTGATAAGGCAGTCATGGATTGAGTGATCACATTATTATTTTGATTTTTAATTTTGCAAGTTGTTGCATGATTTCCCCCCCCCACCGACCGAGGATTACCACCCCCGGAAAAGCAATCCGCCAATCGATCGACTAACAACCGGGTTCCTTATTTACTGCTAAGTAAACAGAGGCGTGTGTGGGCAGTACGGAAACTTGCCTAACATTTCGCCCGGGAATCAAACCCAGGTCCTTTAAGAAGTTCTGACTGCTCTAACTACAAAGCTACAGGACTCCACAAATGCAAGGATTATTATTGTCATTGTTGTTGTTAATAAATCACGATGGATTTGCCCGGCGAGCAGCGCGGTGCTGACCTGTGAGGATGATGTTGGGGATGTTGCCGTGACTGGAGTAACTGAGCTGAGAGTCCTGTAGGCTCCCATGGCTGCCCGTCAACCCCATCATAGCCGCCTGAGAGTAGTTCAGGGTAGAGATCTGACTGAACAAGTTGTTGCTGTTGGGGTTTTCGATCATGTTAAACTGCTCAAGCTTGAAAACAGAGTGAGAGAAAGAGGGAGGGAGGGAGGGAGGGAGGGCAGAGAGAAAAAAATAAAGCAGCAGATAAGTACATTCGAAAGATGCTGGTTTTAAAAGTAAATCGTGAGAGAAATATTTTATAAACTATTAAAAAGTGCATAAACCACTAACCTGGTGTGAGAGCGCATTGGTCTGCCGGGTTGTCAGCTGCTGGTCGTAATAGGAATCTCCGAACACACTCCCCAGTATGGACGTCTACGGGGAAAAACAGCTCGTCAGGAAAGAACAACAACAACAATTTGCAGTTATATAGCGCCCTTTACACAGGGGCATACAAAACAGTGCCGGAGTCTGACACCGAGCCAAGGGGAGAAGGTGACCTTAAGCACAATCAAAAAGGAAGGTCTTTAGGCAGGATTTGAAAGTGTGGAGGGAGGGGGGCGAGGCGGAGGGATTGAGGGAGAGAGCTCCGAGGGCGTAGTGGCTGAAGGCACGGCCACCAAGAACAGAATAATCCAGATCAGAAGACAACAGGAAAACCGGGACAGACCCAGTGACTGCACACACTAGGGTCAGGCTTTACCAGCTCGGGGCTCGTGTCACCCACTTCCGACCTGCCTCTGGGAATGGCCTCGATCTACTCGCAGACAATTCCCGAGTCATCACAGCCCGTTAAGCGAGTGTTCGGTTAACCATGGCAGAGCAACGCTTTTAATCTCTGTGATGCTGTGACAGACTGCTTCAGTGTTGAAAAGGGGGTTTAAGATAGTAATGTACAGACATGTACGCTGCGGTGTGAAACTGGCTGCTGTGCTTCACCCACAAAATACAGACAATTCACTGTGCAACGTATGCTGTGAAGCGCTTTGAGATGTCTCGACGACGTGATAAGGTACTGTGTCAAATGCAAGGATTATTATAATTACTATTATTATTATTATATTACGTCCACAAAACAGTGCTCCCTTTCCCACTCACCGTGCTGATGTCCATTCCCATCGGAGCCTGGGTTTGGGTCATTGAAGGCGACTGTGACATGCTGGAGGAGCGAGCCTGGCTGCTGCTCTGCTGTAGCTGTGTGCTCTGCGTCAGGCTGCTGGAGCTCTGGGAAAGCTGGGGCTGTGTGGTCGACTGAGTGAAGAAGGGGTACGGCGGGAGGTGCTGCTCCAACGACAGCGCGTCCATGGCGACGGCCTGCAACGATAAAACAGGGAGTGACCTCAGGATCACGGCCTGCGTATCGCACGGATCTATGGCATGATTGGTCTTTTAAGTTAATCCACTGTCCACCGAAACACATCTCAATCCCTGACTGTCCAGCGCCTTGGGACGTCCTCCCGACATGAAAGGCGCTGTACAAATGCAATTTGCATTGCATACAGTCGAGGACTATTCCTCTCTCAGCATTGCCTGTAAATAACTACCTGCGTGATCGGGGAGAGCGGGGACAGGGTCGGTGATAGCTGCTGGAGCTGCTGTTGCTGCTGTTGTCTTCGCGAGTCTGTGTTGAGTGACAGAGTGAGCGGACTGACGGTAGGTGGTCTGTTCTGAGACGATCCCGTCAGCGAGCCCTGCGACGATGTCAAGCCTGAAAACAAAGCACATCACTGAGGGCCTCAAAGTGACTGTTTTTTATATTCTGGCTGTACATTATGTTCCCTGCCCACTCCCAAGCAGATTTTGATCCTTCTCTGACATGTGGTTCTCAGCGAGTGGGTGGCACATAGGTAAACTATCCCAACCACAAACCGAGTCATTGTTTATTTTCCATTTTGTAAAAGCACTCAGTTCCCGTTATCCCTGCAAACGACTTGTCCTCTTTGAGGTCTTCTTGGAGCTGAGCTCCAAGAAGAGACGTCTCAAAGTGCTTCACAGGATATTAATTTAGTGGATTGACTTGGTACTTTGGGGGCAAACCCAGTAGCCAATTTACGCGCAGAGAGTGTCCCACAAGCAGCCGTGGAGTGAGTGACCAATTTTATTTTGGGGATTTGTTGGACAGGACACAGGGAGAGAGAAAAACTGAACCGGGACTTCGGTTTGACGTCTGATCTAAAGGATGGCACCTCTGACAATGCAACACATGTGTGGGTGAGATGCACGGAACTCTCATTTTGGTTTGGAGACTCTTAAGCACGGTGATCGGTTTCTGCGTGAGTCATGTGTCATGACCCACCCTAACCGGCTGATCAAAAAAAAAAGCAAGTCAAGTGCCGGCCGAAAGGGTGGACAATACTGCACAATAAGACTTGCCCGTCCATAGCCTAATCAACAGCACTAATGTTCCCCTGTAGGACACACTAATACCCCTGACCTACCTTGACTGTTGGCACTAATGCCCAGATGGTTCATGTTGGCTGCCAGGTTGCCTGTGCTGTTGGAGCTGCTCAGAGCCGGGAACGAAGAATCCTCTGGATCAAGCGGGGTCGGGAGTGGAGGTGGGAAGTGGATATTTGTGAGGTCCGGGAGGGAGCCACCTGTGCTGTGAGCGGCAGGGATCAGTGATGTGGTATTTTCCTGGTCTGCAGATGGGAAAATACTGTATAAAAAATATAAAAATGAAAATTACAGTTTGGATTACACACAATCGCACGCATTTGTCTGGCGCTGCACAGATTTGTCAAGAGTTTCAGTCAAACACACAGTCGAGAGAGAGAGAGAAAGACACGCACACACACACTTGCCCGCAACACACAGTCATCACACTTTACAATGCTTTGACAGGATGTTTCACAGTTGATGCTGTCACACACACAATCTACTCACTTGATCCCCGGGACTTCACATGACTTTGGCCGAGATGACACATTCTGTGAAAAGAGAAAATCTTCTTCAGAAAACCCTGAGCCCGTCGCTGGTGAGTACAGTACACTAAAAGCAAGCGCGGCTTTGAGGAGATAAACTGATGCCACCGAGAACTGTTCTGTTTCTTCCAATTAATTTAAGGGTCGTCAAAATAAATCGCTTGGTCTAAAAAAGTTAACTTATCTGTAAAGCCTCTCCCAAAGGATCCACTGGCTCTATCATAATCACTCCCAACTGTGAGGACGTGACATGAAAGTCGGGATTTTTATCAGAAGTTCTTGATGCTAGGATGAAAACTCTCAGATTTTGACAGGGTCATGACTTCTGAAGGAGAAATGCACAAATTCCCCATTGTTTGTGGACTGGCTGTCAGCAGCTTGGAGTTTAACTGGGAATGATTCCAGTCTCTCTCTGTGCACCTCTGCTTACCTCAAAGGCAAGAGTTCTCAAAGCAACTAAGGATATTTTTTTCATAAATATAAATCATGGAGATATCAGGAAGGATTGAGGATGGAGAGTGCGTAGGGGGTGCGTGGTGTTATAAAGAAAAGCACTCCTGGAAAATAAAACTAATCTGAGATGAGTAATCAAACATTTATGGTAATCCCGGTCACCATTAACACAACAGAATTCCTACCTTCTGGAGCTAACTGCCCTAATCCCAATTCCCTGCTCTCCCCTCCTCCACCCGCACAGGATTTCTGATGTTTCCTTGACTAGGAAGCCACAGGATGGCCAGTGAGCTAAGGCAGAAAGTTTACATGCAAACCAAACATCTGAGTTGCTGTGCTACCTTTTTGCCGTCCCAGAGCTGTTTGGAGAGGGATTTGTCCGGGTCTGACGTGTTTTCCTCCATCCCGGGAACTGTTAGCAGCAACACTGAGACATGAGAGAGAGAGTGGGGGGGAACAAGTGAGCTTGGGTGTGAAGGAAAGCAGGATGAGCCCCACACCAGGGAACTCAGGACTGCTACCACCACACAACATTCCAATACGTTTAGAAGACACATCAGTGTCCCCTGCAGTGGCCTGAAGGGCACTGGTCAAGTTTGCACTCCACAAGCCAACGCTACTACTACTACTACCTACTACTACTAATAATCCTTGAATTTAATATAGAGTCTTGTCACATCTTCAAGATGTCTCAAAGTGCTTCACAGAATATACTATAAAGTGGATTGACTGTATATTTTGCCACCAAAACACAGGAACAATGTTATAAAGTAAGTGTAGCTCTCTGGCTTCGATATCTTATTTTGTTCTGCGTCCTTGTGCAAAATAATAATCTTTTTTTTTTTACAGCCACATCATCGATTGCCGGCACTAATGGGGTTTTGACCGCGTTTTTAATCTATAAATCTCACAAAGGGCAGAGGCGTCACGTCACACAGAACGCAACAGGAACTTCAGGCCAACAGTGAGAAAAAAACATTGTGAAGTTTTGCCCTAATCTGGTGTCCAAAAGTTGGAATCTTTTCGGAGTGGTCAAGGGACAAACGGCTCTTTTTCCAGGTTCTATCAGACAGAAACCCCCTCTCCTCTTCCTCACCCCACCACTCCTTTCCCTACAAACCCCATCTCTAAAAAGAGAACTGAGTCCTGTTTAGCTCTGCACATAGAAAAAAGTAATTTTTAGCTCCTAGAGAAGCCATCTGGCTAATCAGACCTCTGCCAATTTCTACCCGTTTTGTCTAATTTTATTTAAAATGAATCCCGCTTTCCAGATTTATCCTTGTATCCTTCACGGTGCCCAATCCGGGACATGGGATTTACAATTTGCACGCACGGCACAGAGTGATCAATTGGAAGCAGACTTCAGGGTGGTGAGCTATTTTAGACGCATCCCTTGTACAGTGCACTTCACATCAGTGACGGAAATGGGGGAAACTAACCATACAGGCGACCTGGACTGCTGAGTTTATTTATATTTGAAAATGCGGCCGGGAGTTTTACTCCAATCCATACCTGCCCTGTTTAAATAGAAGGCGATTCATTTAGGGTTGATGTTTTTAAAGACATCAGCACCTCACACCAATGACAGCTATACGTATTTATGGCAGCGTGCGACAGCCACAGAAGGTATCTAAGCAGTTAACTTGGTGACTACTTTGGCTGAAAGTGGCCTCAGTACAATAAAGCTCAAGCATTCAACTAGTTCAAGGCAAGCTGTGGAACTGGGTTCACTGTTCTGGTCAGGCAAAGCATGACTGCAGCACTGATCATTTTAAAACAATCGTAATCCCCCCCCCCACCAACACTCCGCCTTTCCCGTCTCCCTTTGAAGGCTCGGTGGGTGCTAGCTGACCTCCAGTGCCTTAACCCAAGTGCGTATTGTTTGTGTGTACAGCTGGGCAGAAAGTGCTAGTGGGCTCCCTGACCAGCCAACACACACACACACTTGCCAACAGCCCATTACTGGGTACCTGGATTCGGAGCGCAAACTCTGCCTGATTTACAAATCTGCTGATCCATTGCACTCATTGATCTACTCATCTTTCTTGTCGCCTGTGCACTAACTCGATGAAGTCACCAGTGCGGCTGCTCCTTTAAGAGATCACCATCTCTTCTGCTTACCTCGTTTGTGTTGCTGCTGTGTGTCCTGGGAACCCCCGTTAAAGGAGTCCTGGGGAGTGGGGGTCATTGTACTCTGGTGCAACGCGGAGTCTGAATTGGTCCTGAAAATATTACGAATGCAGCTTATGAACCATTTTAAAAATTAAAAGTTTTGTCATATAGAAATACAAACAGGACAGATTCAGCGCAGACAAATTCTAGGAGGTGTCAGTTGGAAATCTTCCTCCCAAGTTTCAATGTGTTGTTTTTGCAGCACATTGTAAAGCACACTTAATGAAAAAAACAAACCTGGACTTTGTAAATGTCTTTCTATGTATATATCAATTTAAAAATTCAGAGCAGCTTATTTACAAAGAATTGCCTTCTTTCAAATACGTAGTGTATATATTAATATGTTATATTATCATATAATAATCCTTGCATTTGATATAGCGCCTTATCATGTCGTTGAGACGTCTCAAAGCGCTTCAAAAAATATACTGTCAAGTGAATCAATCGACTGTATGCTTTGTGGGCGGATATAGATTCTGAATCCTTCAGAAATTGGCTCCACTTCAGATCGCAGAACACTGCAACCCATACAGGAGCTATGATGGACATTTGTGACCTTTTTTGGGACCGCACAAACTTATGTTCTCACACACAGACAAAAGAGGGCGAGTAAAAGGTGCTATTGTTGAGCAAGTTTGCACCTTGAGCAAGCACGCCTGCGACAGCAAGCTGTCGGGAGATGCACACAAGACAGAAAGTGACACGTGTCAGAGGATTCGTGCGTTAGAAAGCATTTTACATTTTCAAGGGCGTTTGTGTTGTAAATTTCTCAGCTGCAGCACTGAGCTTATTGTGTGAGCACCGCAGATATCACAGATGATATAAAAAGCTTTTCTCTCGCGAGAACATGGAATACATGACCTCGGAAGGATTTAGATGCAGAATTGATCGAGATGTTTGAATAGGAGATAGATACTTCAGACTTCACTTCAGAGAAATTCTTTCTCTTCCCTGACAGCCAGATAACAGTTTGAAGAAAACTGTGATCTTCGCTTCTTAGGGACACTCTTTCTCAATGTTTCTACTAATATTATACTAATAATATGCCTTGTATCTGATATAGTGCTTTATCACGTCGTTGAGACGTCTCAAAACACTTGACAGAATATACTGTAAAGTGGATTGACTATTTCAAAACTGCCCAAATTACCCCAGGCCTCTTCAGTTGCGTGTGGTTGACCGATGACAGGCTTTTCATTTAAGGAAAAAGCAACTCACCTTCTCCAGCTGGTGTCAGGTGGAGGCGACAGGTAAATGGATCCGTATGGACAACTGTCTGCGTGCTGAGAGTCAAGGCAACTTTGCAGAGAATGGAAAGCATGCGTCTTTTAAACGGTCATTAATTAAAATATATTGCATGCGAACCCCCCTTCCCCATAGTAGAGCTCCCCCCCAAAACTAACGACAGATTTTGTCACCTTTTTAGAAAAAAAATCTGATGAAAAAGGAAATTAAAATAAAGATTAAGCAGTGCTTTTTCATAAAGACGCTTTTTCTTGCCAATTTTTCTCAACCTTCTTCTGAAGGAGATGAAGCCTTGGTAAGAGAGGGGGATACAGGCAGCTCTCTGAAATCCGCACACGCACATACACGTGTGACAGGGAGGACCTGTTGGATCACCTAGCGTTTGCCTGTCAGATCATTTTTGTTCTTCTACAGTTCTTTTTCACAAGCTCTTACATTACAAGATAAAATGATCCCACAAGCTGAGACCAGGTGACATTTTAGGCATTAGAAGCAGGGATCTTGGCTGATTTTTCCCTCCCCATTCACCCACCCATTGTACATGGGAGAGAGGAGCGTGAATGGGCTCCTCTAAAGATAAATATCAAAAGATCACACTATCTTAACAGAGCAAAACCACGCCCGAAAATAATACTCCCCCTTCACTCTTTTCCTGCTCTCTCTCTCTCGGTACAGTTTATGCTGCTTATCAGGTAGATCTGAACCAGTGACAATAATAACAAACCAATTATAACCCGCCACTCATAAATCTCTCATCAAGGATCGATCTGGACTTGATTGATTTCATTTAGCCAGTGTGAAAGCAGCCACTCTCTTAATTGTATTCCATCCACACAGCAGCTCTTTTCCAGGCACGAGATTCACGAGGGTTTTTTACTGTCAGGGCTCAGCTTGATCTAGATTCTCGTTACTTTCAGATTCAAATCAGTTCCACCCACACAGGCGTGCAGTGAAACCAGCCAGCCAGCCAGCCAGCAGCACCGCCCTCAGAGCTTGGCTCCACTCAAGACTTATTTGCACCTGAAGTGTTAAGGTAACAGCAAAGCTGTGAGCTGCCGCCAACTGTTTGTAAACTGCTCAAACGCTTTTTATATCTGCGCAGTCATGCCATCTTAAAGGCATCACAACAACAGATGGGTTTCCAACGCTGCTTCTTATCCAACTCAGCTCCTTCCCTCGCTCACAGTTCGATACGGTCTCCATAGAGAAGGACATCTCTGCTCCTGGACCAGGCTATAAGTTACACACACACACACACACACACACCGACATCTGCAAGCAAGCTTACACCTAAGAATAATCATCCTTGCAATTGTTATAGCAACTAAACGTCTCAAAACACTTCACAGGTCAGGGCTGGCAAATGCAGCAACTGTGCATTTGTAGGCAACCGCATCTGCCAGTTTGCAGTGTCCCACAAGTAGCCACAAAGTGAATGATCAATTTATCCGGAAGATTTTTGGCCAGGATACTGGGAGGAACTTCCTCTTCTTTTCAGAATCCACAAGTTTACAGGGGCCACAGGTTTGAGGACCCCCTCCTCCCCCTCACTCCTTACGCACGCTACAAAGTACATTAACCCAAAATAAATCTTGAAATTAATCAATCATTGATTCTCCCCCTGAATGCGGAGGATTCTTAGCACAAGAGGACATTCACTCATCGTGTCTATGTCCTGCTTATTCCCATCAGAGCTGTCTATCCTAATCCCCTTACCGGGCTCTTTGTCTAATACGATTCTTTTATCTTTATTCTTCCAGAATTCATCCAATTCCCTTTTAAACCAAAATTAATTTGTCTTGAACTTCTGGTAATGCTTCCACATCCTAATATTTCTGTGTGTAAGAAAAAATTAATCCGCTAACTCTCTCTTCACGCTTCGAACAATCATCTTGAATATGTAGCCTCTTGTTCATGAACCACTAACTAGTAGAAATAATCCACTGATATCGTGAAAGTGAACCTACAAACCATCCTTTTTATATACGGCGTCCAAACCTGCAAAACAAACATCTCAGCTGTGGTTTAACTAATGCCTTGTACAGAAATGATACAACCTCCTTACTTAATGCTATCTTCACTTCTAAGCTATCTCTTAATAGTTTGTGGATCAATGCAATCCCAAATGTGAAACACCCATCTCTAACCTCTACAACAACAACTTGCACTTACGCAGTGCCCTCCACGCAGGGTAGAGTCTCAGAGTGCTTAAAAAAACTGAACTCTACAGAACTGAAGGGCTCCCTACACTCAGATGCTGCTTCCTGCCATGTCAAAGGGTTCCAGATACTCTCTCTCTTCCAGTTACCACCTCCTGCCTGCGTCAAAGGGATTTCGATGGATGGACATCATAGCTCCTGCCATATCAGCAGAGCAGACCTATTGTGGGGCATGTCAGCTCTTCAATACCCTGAGAAACAGCCTGGGGAAGGATATCTGACGGCCATGTTTGTCCACTGGAAGTGCCCGCCGGTGCGGTGATCCCAACCGGTTCCTGTCCCTGTAGACTCTGTCCACAAGACCATGATGCCTGGTCGATCTGCTGGTGTCCAAGCCAGAGGCCTGGAAAGGAGTCTGCAACAACAAACACAAACACAAGCCACCCTTTCAGCATCTTTCTCCAAACAGGTAGACTGTAGCTCTTACCTCAACAAGTGGGACCGGTTTAATTCATGTTGACTGAAAAACTACTTTTAGTCGTGTCCTTTTTTTTTAAAAATGAATAAAACTCTTCAACCTGGTCAGGAGGGACCATCAGCTGTCCGTTTATTCTTTCACTTGTCATGGATTTATTTCAGGGTTTGACCCACGGGGCAGATTTTTAAATAGACTGTTTTAAAGTTTGCCCTCTGGAAACCCTCCCTGTAACTAAACAATTTCACTGCAGATGTACTTGGGAATTGCCTTGAGCGTGGGTTTCTGCCAATGGGTACATTTTTCAGCAAACATCTTCAATGCAAACTGAGTGGGAGCAGGCTGGCTGCTTCAAGCTGTCTCTTTTACAGCCTTAATACTTGTTAGCCGGGATCTTAAACTCTTAAACAAACTCGGGAAAATAGGGGAACAATTCAATACAAATACAAAATTACATTTGTATAGTATTTTTCACGTCGGGAGGACATCTCAACACACATTTATAATTGGAATGCTTTGCGCAAAGGAAGTGTCTGAAACCACACTGCAGAATGAGATTAATTAGAAATGAAGTTAATGTTATCTTGGCAAAGATGGAAGCCAATTTGTGCTAGCAAAGTTCCATAGACTACGAGAGATCAATGACCAATTAATTTGAATTTAGGGTGAATTTAGAAGAGTATGAAATATAAACCAGGATAGCCAGAAGAAAAACAACTTGCACTCAGTAAGCAGCTTTCATGTAACACAACCTCTCATAGGAACAAGCCATTTAGCCCCTCAAGCCTGTTCCACCATTCTATAAGTTTATGGCTGATCTGTACCTCAACTCCAATTACCCGCCCTTGCCCCATATCCCTTATATCTTGATAAGGACATTGTGAAAAACATATTCCTTTGAAATAGTAGCAAGGTGGTGGGGGGGGGGAAGAGGGCGAAGATTCACTGAACATCCACCTGAGTCACAAGGCAGACTGAACCTAAATTAATGACTCAGTCAAAATAAATGACAATCTGGAAATGGAACCATAGTTTAAATGGAATGGTGGTTTGAAGGAAACTGCTCTGTGTCCCAGGAAGTGGACCAGTGAACCATTGGAATTGTGCCCCCCCCACCACCCACTACCTCAATATCCCAGGCTTTTGTGCTTGAAATGAGTGGTCCACAGAAGAGCCCTTGAAACTGGAAACCCTTTGTGTAAATTAACTGCTGTGAAAGCCACCCAGGAACAAGTGCCCTATCTGTTCATTGATGCCCTGATCTCTTGGTGAACGATTCGGGCTGATTTGTGTGCTGAAGTGCTGCCTCTCTGTGTGTGGGAAGTCAGCTCACGACTCTACTCTCACCGAGCCCCACAATCAACCTACCAGCGGGTGCCACCAGCCATCGACTCCACATCACTAACTGTCTCAGAAAGATCAGAGCGTGAGAGAGAAATAGTGAAGAAAGACTACTGTTCCAGCCGGAATTAATACTGACTCACTCACTCTCATAGAAAACATTTCCCTTTAACAAAATGATTCACCCCCAGAACTCTAATATACCTGTCAGCAATGGGGTTGCATTGCAGTCAGTTGATAAAGCAAGCAACCAGAGATTCACTTGTAAAGGTGCCAACTACCACAGCGTGAAGGTACAAACTGTGTGTAACAACAAAGCAGAACAACTCTTTGCACCAACGTTCAAGCCAATTTGCTTCTCAATCTTCCAGCAAGCTCAGAGAAGATTTTTTACGAGGAAGTTTTACCCATAAACTTTACAAGGTTAATTCCTTGAGCCGAGAGGCAATGATGTTTCGAATGTTTGAGTGTATTGATTACAGCAAAAGAATGTTGAGTTTTAAAATTAGCACTTTAACTTTAAAAGGAAGGAACGTTAAAAGGAGCCCTAGGATTTGCACGCAACAGAACTACAAGAAGTCTAACTGGACACAAGTTCAATTTGACGGGAAATAGCTGCAAATAAGAGATCTTGCCAAACCCTTTTGTGTATCTCTTCACCGCTCCCCAGCTCATTCACACTCGCTTACTCTGGAGCCTTCACCCTGGTTGCGAACATCAGCTGCAAATTAAGTGGTGCTCCCTCTTTCGCCCCTGGATATTTCCAGGCAAGGTCCTTCCTCCGTTTCAAGATCCAAAGCGCTCTGAGACGCGACCTTGCGTGAAGAGCGCTATATAAATGTAAGTTTTCCGTCATCCACAAAATGAGCAAAACGAACACATTAAATGACTTGGCGTGACTCTATTTACCAGATTTTATTCCTTGCACATAATGGGATAATGCTTATGAGTGACTGGCAGAATGAGTGAAACACTTGAAAAAGAATTAAGGGTTTGGTGAGCATGTAGGAGAGTGGAGAAAAATACCAGCACACACTTGATGGGCCAAAAGGCCTGCTTCTGTGCTGTAACAATCTACAGTTCTACTTGTAGTGTCGTTGGATGTAATCAGATGCGGAGCCCAGGAAATGGAGCAGAGGCAAAGAGGGCAAATTACTCTCTTGAAAGCAAATATATATGCATGCCGACATCCTGCTTACACACAAGCACAACTTCAGAAAGCAAGACATGTGACTGTCAGTGACAATCAGCATCTCAGTTACACGCTAGCCTTCCAAGGTACACGTTTGCCTACGAATGCACAGTCCCAACAAGACTTGCATACACAGGTTTGGGAAGAATGCTTTTCACTTGACTGACTTGCTCCCCCCAGCTCTCTGCATGTCAAGTGCACTTTGTAATAAACCCGTAGGCAACAACAATGAATTGTATTTGTAAAGCGCCTTTCACGTCGGAAGGATGTCCCAAGGCACTGGACAGTCAGGGATTCACACCCGAGCTGAGGGAGCAACTTAGACACACGGCAGTGTTGTGGACCGGCAGGTCAGTGCCGAATCCCAGCTCCCTCCCAAAGCTGAAGGAAAAACTCACCTGAAAGGGGAGATCCAGGGCACTGCTTCCGATTTGATTGACGTTGGGCAGGGAACCTCCGTAGTACTGACCCCGACTCGGTCCCAACTGCAAATACTGAGATTTCTGTAACTGTAACTGAAAACAAATTTAAAAAAACGCCAGTTACAAAAAAAAGAGGAGACACTGGTCATAGAAAGTTGAGGAAATTGACAGTGTAAATGAACTTCAACCCTCATTAGGATGTCACCAGTGTCCTTAAACACATTGACAGACGCTGCCGGCACCAAAGGGAATCATGTCTCCGAGATGTCTCAAGAGCACTTCACAGCATTCACTGTGAAGTGAATTGACTATTTTCTGGGCGAAATGCACCAGCCAATTGCGCACAGCAGTGTCCCATGAACAGTCGTGGATTGAGTGACCAAATTATTATTATTTTTAAGGGATTATTACTCCTCAAGAAGCGATCTGCCAACCGACTAACATCCGGCTTCCTACTTATTGCTGGGTAAACAAAGGCGTGCGTTAGGAGTAAGGAAACGTGTCAATGTTTTGTCCTGCCCGGGAATCAAACCCAGGTCATCTCACTTGCCAGGCGAGCGCTCTAACCACTAAGCTACTGGACTGCAATAGAAAACCTAACACAACTGTGTTTCAAATGAAAATAAACTGGAGGACACCAAGGCAGTGATCTAAAGGCGAGATTTAAGCGAGGTCTTAAACGAACTCCGAGAGTAGATTTCTCCCTTGAAATCACTCCCACACCACGATGCAAGACGCTCTGTAAATCTGCAATCTTTGTGTGTGTGTGTGTGTGTGCGTGTTTTTATTTTTTACGAACAGTTCCAGCTGTTTGTAGTTTGCTGGTAGTTTGGCAATTTGAGGCATTCACCCTTCTAACTGGAACAAGGTTTTTTGGGTAAAGTTCTCCGCTCACTTCCTTCCTACTGCTGGGGATAAAAAGCTGCAACTCCCACTCACTGACCAATTGGCTCCAGTTCCTCGGCAGCTTCAGTGAGGGAACAGCCAACACTTGCCAGCTGTTCAAATCAAGAGTGTTGGTTACAGTAAAGGAAACAGGCTGCAGGGCCCATCAAAACTGCACTGGTGCTTTTCGCCACATGAGCCACCTTGCCTCATCTCACTGCAATAAAGCAGCAAGTTTACCCGTCAGTCCGCTGTCCGATCATCTACTGCTTGTGATCAAAAGCGGGGAAAAAAGCCTCACCTTGTGGGTCTTTTCCCTCCCTTTTGATCACAAGCAGGAGATGAACGTGCAGTGTCCAAGTTAACAAGTTAAGGCAGCGGTCAGCAATTTCCCTTTGAGCAATTACTGAAGTTCCGCACTTTAAATAATAAATAAACTAAATGGTTTACGTGAGGAGCCACTTAAACAATTGTCAAAATGCGTTGAATGCCACCAGACCCCACCGTGTTACCTAATTCACTGGGAAAGGTTCAGGTAAGTGCGGAGGCACCTGTAGACTTGGCCACTTTCATTAAATTGCTTACACAGATAGGCTTGCCTCTCCCAGCAACACTCGCAATTTCAAACATTATGGAGATAGATCGGTACTTAGGAAGTAAGGGTAATAAGGGATAAGGAAACGAGGTGCGAGAATGGGATTAGAAAGATAAAGAGCTCCTATTCACTGTAATAAAATTGCAGAATAGGCTCTGAGGCAGAATGGCCTCTTGCTATTCCTGTGTCCGCACATCAGTTTCAGTCAGGAATTGCCATATACACATTTCTTAATCAACTGGGCATAATGAGAGCACAATTCACAAGCAACGCCAGCCTCGAAGCAAAATGCCTTGAAAGTTCAGTCTCCGAGAGAGCAAACACAGGCCAGGCTTTATTGCTGAGCTTTCCAAAAAGTCTAGCATTTAAGTAGTGATTTCCTGTTTTCAATCTTTACCCAAATTGCAGACTACGAGGTTACAAAAAAAACACACCAAATAACCTAATCAAAAAATCACAATTTACCAGCACCACCACCCTGTTTGCATCATTGCCTCGGTTTACCTAGCAATAAGTAGGGACCCGGTTGTTAGTTGATTGGCAGATTGCTCTTCTGGGGATTTAAAAATAGATATATAAAAAAATAAGAATTTGCTCACTCAATCCACGGCTGTTTGTGGGACACTGCTGTGCGCAATTGCCTGCCGCGTTTCGCCCACAAAATATATAGTTAATTTACTTCACGGTATATTCTGTGAAGCGCCTTGAAACGTCTCGAAGGCGTGATAAAGTGTTATGTCAAATGCAAGGATTATTATTATTATATTCTGTGAATTACTTTGAGACATCTCTTAGACGTGATAAGGTGCTGTATCAAATGTAAGATTTTGTTACCTCCAATGTGTGGAATGGCAGAAGTGTGTGTAAAGTCCAGGAAGATGTATGTTGCTGCACGTTTCTGTAAACTCTTGACCATCCAGAAAATAATAATATAAAATAAGATAAAATAAGGCATCAAGCATTCTCTTTCTTAAAGAAAATTCTCAGAAAGTTACCCAAACCAAATCTTCCAGGAAACAGTTCAGCTGCCTGATAGCATCAAGGCACAGTCACACCGCAAAACCAGAATATTTGGCTCATCACATCTGCACTGCAGTTTCATAATAATAATCCTTCTATTTGATATAGCTCCTTATCACGTCGTGGAGACGTCTCAGAGCGCTTCACAAAATATAAGCACATCATAATGTCAACGAGACGACTCAGAGTAATTCACAAGATTTAGTGTAAAGCGTAGGCAGGTAAAGATATCTTTGAGAGATCTCTGCAGAGAGGGAGCATAGTAGATGAAAATGCCGGAAACCATCAGTGTTTCATTCTGAATTAATGCTGACGAAGTCATTCATAAAAACAAGTTTGTTCCTGACAAGGGTACTGGACATTTAAACAGTTCTAATAAATCGTAACTGTCCCATATTCCACTGAACTCGTGATATGCAGACAGGTAGCAGACTGCTACTAAACATATTAAAATTAGAAAAGGTTGGCGAGGGCAAATTCAGTGTAAAGTACTTATCCCATGCGTTCAGCAGTTTTATTTTTAAACTGCTTCCCATTGCAGCAGAGCCCAATGAATTTCTGTAACTAACGTGCTACCTAGGCACATTGACTAAGATCCTTGCCTTGACCTTCATGATCTCGGTCCTTCACTACCTATGGAATTTCTTCCAATCATGTCCATCTAGGAGCTCAGTAACTCAGTAATTAGAGCACTCGCCCGGCAAGCGAAAGACCTGGTTTCGATTCCCAGCAGGGCGAAACCTTGGGTAAGTTTCCTTACTCCACATGCCCGATAATAATCCCTCAAGAAAAAAAAACACAATAATAAATTTGTCACTTCAATCCACCACTGTTTGTAGGACACTGCTGTGCACAATTGAGTGCTGTGTTTCACCCACAAAATATAATCAATTCACTTTACATTATATTCTGTGAAGCGTTTTGGGATGTCTAGAAGATGTGAAAAGCGCTATATCAAAATGCAAGGAGTATTATTATTATCCTCTGCTCTTCCAATACCGGCCTATTGATGTATTTTTCATTCCCTCTGTCCCATCGTTGATGACTGAGCCCCTACTCTTTAGATTCTTTCAAAATCCCTTTGCCTCACTTCCTCCCTCTTGTCTTCAAAACCCTCCTTAAAAATGCATCTCTTTGGTTGTCCCTCTGGTCACCATCCTTAACTTTTAATGCTTGGTGCAAGCCATCAAATCTATTGAGATGTTCACTGTATGATAAGGCACTACATTAAACACATGATTTTTAAAGTGAAACACTTGCACGCTTAAACTACCCAATGGCTCATCTGGATGCAAATGGCCACATGCTGAACGAGATGAGCGTGTGATCTTCAGCTAATGGCCTACTGGCTTTATGAATCCATTTCTTAATCCATGAGAAGCATGGTACACATCATGCAGCTTGTTGAAGAAGACGATTATTGGATTGACACATTGCTCGCGCACAGGTCATACTGCAGTAGGAGGTAGGTTTGAGTCCATAATTCCCGACGTCTGTGCAGTGCTGTCGGAGAAAGCTCTCTGGGAATATGGTCAGTGAGTGAGTCACTCCAATAACCCCAAATGTTCTCAAACACCTCCTAGCAACAGAGACCTATAAGCAGATGGCCTGGCTGCTCTGACACCAGGGAACTCCTTATGGCTTGGACAAAAGAAACACACGAAAAGGGATTTAGAATGAGGGGAACTTTGTTTACTATTCATGAGGCGTATGTACTGCACTCCACAAACAGGACTGTACTTTGTAAACCGACTCCCACTGAATAAACATTTGCCTCCTGTCCTTTGAGAAAGTCTTTCTCTTTTAACAATGTTTTTTTAAAAAATAAACCAAAAATGTTCTCAGTGATTTGCAATCTGTGCCTGGATAAGACACACCCGTCTAAACAGCTTAGATAAATACAAAATACATGTGGATCTAATTCCTCACAATTGGCTGTGTTTCACCAGCAAAGATAATTCTACTAAATGCAGAGAAGGAACTTTAATTTTTTTCCTGTCCTGACTATCGGGAAATGTTAGCATTGAGCAGGTCATTTTCTCTGAAATTGTTGTCTGGTTGCAATGGATGTGTTTTTCTAGAGAGGAGCATTTAGAGGTTTAGTACGGCCTGTACTGCTAACACATGGTAAACGTTGAATGAATCCAAACCGATTAACCTTTACCCTGCTGAATAAAGAGTATCTCCGTACACGCACACAGCAAATAATAATAATAACCCTCACTCCGCTAAAACAAGAGCAGCGCTACAGTATGTGGCAAATAACTCTGTCCTATTGCATCAACAGCTAAAATTGTAGGTACAGCAAGGAGAGGACTTATTCACTGTGCAAATGTAAAGAGATCCTGTTTGGATCAGGGAGAAGTTTAATTCACTGTCAAAGACAAAGGGACAAAGTCAAAGTCCATATGTTTGCTGAACTAGGAAGGGATAAACAAGCTAAAGGATGGAGGGATAGACATAATAGAGAGAAACTGTGCCACTAAAGTAACTTCCTGTTGAGCTATAGACCGAATGGGTTTACATCTATTAGGAGTAAACATTTATTAGGCAATGTAAATACGTATACTAGGTTACACCTTCTACCACGTTT